TGCGGTTAAAAGTTGCTGCCACTTGGAGTAAAATTAACCACTGACCTCCCATGGCTTTAACTGTCAAGGTGTCATTATGTCTGGCTGTCACTGTGATCCTGTCAATTAAGCAGTGCAGAAATTAGAATTTCTACTTCAATAATACCTTTTGCAATTAAAGGTATTTTGCAATAATACCTTTGCAACACCTATAAACGATGTTTTTGAGGTACTCCAGGTTGGCTCCCTACCGGCTCTTGTCTCGGAAGTTCTTCTCGATTTCGCTTTGGAGCGTGGATTCCTCTTCCCGGTGCTTCTCCTCCTCCACCAGGATCTCCTCCTGGAGCTGGTGAACCTGCATTTCCAGCTTCTGCTTCTGCTTCCTCAGTGCTGCCATCTCCACCTACAGAATCATAAAATCACAGTGTGGTTTGGGTGGGAAGGCAGGCACCCCTCCCCCAGCCCAGGCTGCTCCCAGCCCCATCCACCCTGGCCTTGGACACTGCCAGGGAGGGGGCACCCACAGCTCCTCTGGGCACCCTGGGCCAGGGCCTCACCACCTCACAGCCAGGAAATGCTGCCCAAGATTCAGTCGAAATCTCCCAAAATCCAGTGTAAAGCCACCCTCCCTGGTCCCATCACCCCGTCCCTTGTCAAAAGTCCCTGCCCAGCTTTCCTGTCCCCTTCAGGTCCTGGAAGGTGCTCTAAGGTCTCCCTCTCCCTCTCCCTCTCCTCTCCCTCTTCTCTCCTCTTCTCCAGGCTGAACAACCCCAATTCTCTCAGCTGACTCCAGAGCAGAGCTGCTCCATCTTTGTGGCCTCCTCGGGACCCACTCCAGCACTTCAGCATCCTTTTTGTGTTGGGGACTCCAGAGCTGGACACAGCCCTGCAGGGGGGGTCTCACCAGAGCAGAGCAGAGCAGAGGGGCAGGATCCAGGGGATGCAGCCCAGGACGGGGTTGGTTTCTGGGCTGTGAGTGCCTATTGCCAGCTCACGTTGAGTTTTCCATCACCCAACACCCTCAAATCCTTCTCCTCAGGACTCAGAGGTGAAGCGCCTGGAGAAGCAGCTCGGATGAATCGTTACCCGATGAGTCGCTGTCACTGATGGCAGCCCCCGGCCCTAGGTGCTTTTTGGATCCTTGAAGGCCATAGGGCAGCGTGAGGGATCTCAGCTGCTCCAGCTCCTGGTCCTTCTCTGCCAGCACGGCCAGTGCTCGCTCCCACTGTTCATGCAACTCCTCCTCCAGCTTCAGCGCCCACTCCCTGCAATCCAGCTGGCACCGCTCAAATTCCTGCCACTGTGTTTGCTGCAGCTGGGACAGCTCCTGCTTCTTGGCTTCCACCTCTCGCCGGTGCTGCTTCTCCATCTCCTCAGAGGACAGCTGAAGCGCCACGTATTTCTCCTTCAGATCTGCCAACTGCTCTTGGGCTTCCTCCAGCTCCTTGGCCAGGTTGCCGTCTTTGGCTGACTTGTTTTTCAGAACCACTTGCGCCCTCATCTTGTACCTCTCAAACTCCTCCTTCAGCTGCTTCAGCTCCTGTTGGTAGTACAAAGCGGTGGCCTTCTCGCCGTCCCCAGCCTCAGTGCCCTTCGGCAGCTCCAGCTCACACAGCTTCTCAATGTCCAGAGCGGGCTGACTTCTTTGCCGCCACCTGCAGCAGCTTTTTCAGCTTCTCCATTTTATCTTTTAGGACATTCAGGTTGAGATTGGCTTCCTCTACGTGAAAATCAACCGGGGATCGGCTGGAGGCCACGATGGCCAGGGTTTTGTTCTTCAGGTCGAACTGGATGATGCGGTCCTTCAGCTTCTGGATGACTGCTTGGTCTTTCTGCTTGGCCTTTTCGTAAGTGCCGAGCAGCTCAGACACTTCGGAGACTTGGCCCTCCAGGTCGGCCACTTGCTGCTCCTCCATCTGGGCGTGCTCGCGGAGCTGCTCCTCAGCCTGAGCGGTCTGAGGGCAGAGAGAAAGGCAGGGTTAGATCAGCTCTACTTTACACCAGGACTTAACACCACGCACAAGCGGTGTCCCCAGGGCTCAGATTTGGGGCGAGTCCTGTCTAACATCAATGATCTGGATGAGGGGATGGAGGGCTCCCTCCATTTGGAGATGGCATACAGCAAGTTAGATGAGAGTTTTAATCTGCTTGAGGGTAGGAAGGCTCTGCAGAGAGACCTGGACATGCTGAGGTCAGTTGTATGAGCTTCAACAAAGGCAAGTGCCAAGTCCTGCACCTGGGTCACAACAAACCCATGCAATGCTACAGGCCTGGGGAAGAATGGCTGGAAAGCTGCCCAGCAGAAAGGGGCCTGGGGCCAGCGGTGCCCGGGTGGCCAAGGTGGCCAACGCCATCCTGGGCTGTCCCAGCACTGGTGTGGGCAGCAGGAGCAGGGCAGGGATCATCCCCTGTGCTGGGCACTGCTGAGGCTGCCCCTGCAATCCTGGGCTCAGGTTTGCACCCCAAAAAGGACATGGAGGGGCTGTAGCATGGGCAGAGAAGGGCAAGGGAGCTGGGGAGGGGTCTGGAGCAGCCGAATGCTGGGGAGCGGCTGAGGGAGCTGGGGGGTTCAACTGGAGAAGAGGAGCTGAGGGGAGACCTTACAGCATCTTCCAGGACCTGTCACCCAGAGGAGATCACCCAGGAACATATCTAAAGGGTTTGGATGTCTCCAGAGAAGGACCCGTCTCCGTCAAGGACCCATTACCATAAAGGACTCAGTTTTGAGGTTCTCAATGACACTGTTCTGGGGCTGAAGGGCTGTGACCACAGCAGGGGACAACCAGACCCCCCTGCCCCTCTCCTGGCCACGTCCAGCACAGAGCGGCTGTGGCACAGAGGCCCCCACCGCCCCGTCCCACACATCCTCACCCAGCACTGCTGGAAGCACCGGGAAATCCCAGGATTTACCTGGGCTCTGGGCATTCTCTCCATATGACAAAGGTCCCCAAATCGAAGGGCTGTGACCACAGCAGGGGACAACCAGACCCCCCTGCCCCTCTCCTGGCCACGTCCAGCACAGAGCGGCTGTGGCACAGAGGCCCCCACCGCCCCGTCCCACACATCCTCACCCAGCACTGCTGGAAGCACCGGGAAATCCCAGGATTTACCTGGGCTCTGGGCATTCTCTCCATATGACAAAGGTCCCCAAATCGCACCACGGCCCTGGCCTGCTGGCCTCAGCCCCACAGCACACCATGAGGGGGGACACAGGGGACAGGTCTCCAATTCCCGGCCAGGACCTGTCACCTCTCCTGCCCATAGGACAGCAGCGCCAGTGCTGGAGATGAACTAAACTGCATTCAAGAACAGCAAAGGAAATATCAATTTCAACCCGTAAAGAAGGTTCAAACATTCCAGTTACTTCCCATTTGCACGGTGCTCCCTGCATGGCTGAGCCCCCGTGGGCTGGGGTTAAAGGACACCCGCACACATTCAAGTGTCCTGCAGCTCAGTGCATGGAGCAACACAACGGGGATTGATTTGATGGCATTTCCCACTTCATAAGAAGCCTTTCCCAAGGCTTTTGACTGGGGATTTCTGCCCGGCTACCTACAAACAGAAAGAGATATGTGGACAGAGAAATGGATATGGATATAGACAGAGATAGGGATATGGATATAGACAGAGTTATGGATACAGACACAGTACCAGCCACGGATACAGCCATGGTAACAGACACGGTTCCATACACAAATCCAGACACAGACGTGGACACTGACGTGGATACAGACACAGACGTGGACACCGAAGTGGATATGGATATGGGTACAGATGTGGACATGGTTTCAGTCGAGGATACGGATATGGACATGGGTACGGATGTGGACATGGTTTCAGTCATGGATACGGATGTGGACATGGATACGGATGTGGACATGGTTTTGGTTGTGGATGCGGATATGGACATGGGTACAGATGTGGACATGGTTTCAGTCATGAATACGGATATGGACATGGATGCGGATATGGACATGGATACGGATGTGGACATGGTTTCAGTCATGGATACGGATATGGACATGGATACGGATATGGACATGGATACGGATGTGGACATGGATACAGATGTGGACATGGTTTTGGTCGTGGATGCGGATATGGACATGGGTACGGATGTGGACATGGTTTCAGTTGTGTATGTGGATATGGACATGGATATGGATGTGGACATGGTTTCAGTCATGAATGCGGATATGGACATGGGTACGGATGTGGACATGGTTTCAGTTGTGTATGTGGATATGGACATGGATATGGATGTGGACATGGTTTCAGTCATGAATGCGGATATGGACATGGATACGGATATGGACATGGATACGGATGTGGACATGGTTTTGGTCGTGGATGTGGATATCGACATGGATACGGATGTGGACATGGTTTCAGTCATGAATGCGGATATGGACATGGATACGGATATGGACATGGATACGGATGTGGACATGGTTTCGGTTGTGGATATGGACATGGATTCAGGTGTGGATATGGATATGGACACGGATGTGGACATGGATATAGAGATGGTTGCAGACATGGAGACAGATGTGGATATGATAGAGAAATGGATACAGATATACGGATAGAGACGTGGATAGAGAGAAACATATAGATAGATATAGATAGACATGTAGATATCTTGTTTTTCATTAAATTTTCTATTTTCCATTATATTTTCTATTGTCCATCAATTCTGTCCCAGTAAAACCAGGACACGTCCCCCACAGCCACACTCCTGAACTGAGCAGCTCTCAGAGTCCACGTCCTACCAACAACTCACGCTCTGGGCCATCCCCCAAATCACAAGGTGGATTTGCCGAGTGGGAAGGGACCTTTACAGCTCCTCCAGTCCAACCCTGCACTGACAGGGACATTGGCACCACATCAGGGTGCTCAGACCCCATCAAGCCTGGCCTTGAATATCTCCAGGGATAGGGCCCGCACCACCTCTGGGCAACCTGTGCCAGTGATCGACCACCTCATGGGGAAGAGCTTTTTCCTGAGATCCAACCTAAATCTGCCCTTTTCCAGTTTAAAACCATCCCCCCTAGTCCTATTGCTCCATGCCCCAGTGAACAGCTCTTCCCAGATTTCTTAGAGGCACCTTTCAGGTCTTGGAAGTTTGCTAGAAGGTCCTGGAAGGTGCTCTAAGGTCCACCCATGGGGGGGTGGAATTAGGTGACCTTTGAGGTCCCTTCAACCCAAACCACTCTGAGTCCATGCCCATGGGCACCACTTCCCCACTGCTGACACCCACAACACATGCGCACACCAGGACCGCAGTTTCTGAGCACAACGCATGAGGCAAACCCGCACTGGAGGCCCCACGGCCGCTCCTGCACAAGAAGCGAGCGATTGTCCTGCCCGCTGCGCTCAACACTGCGGCTGTGTTCGACGGCGCGCGCAGGGCAGCGGCACCGCTCTCCACTGGTTCTCCCAGCCCTCGTCAGCTTCCAGACCCACATCGCAGGGATGGGGCCGGAGCAGACATACAGACTCCATGCTATGTTGTAGGCCTGGGGTTCAAGCCCCTCTGGCTCACCATGGCACAAATGCTTTTGGTTCATTTTATCCCCACATAAATAAGTAGCCGAAAAAGGTAGGTCAATGTGGTGGCTTGTATGGGATCCTGGGGGAAAGGGTGGCCCTGTCTGGAGCACAGGGCCTCTCTGGCCCTGTGTCTGCGCACATCCGTTTTGAGAGCTGTAGGAGGGCTTGCAGCATTCAGGAACAAATTTCTACCTACAGGAAAAATGCTCCTGCAGAAAGCTCTCATGAGATGTGGGCTGGAATCTCCTCTGCTCTAAGCCATTTCCTGCTGTTCCGGCAGGCAGGAGGTTGCAATCCACTGGCACCTGGCTAGGTGACTTTTTTGGGAGGAGGTGGGGGGAGGAAGGAAGGACCAACAAGTTCCCAGCTGACAAAGAAACCTGACCTCTAAGCCAGCTGTTCCTCTTGCAGTCAGGGCACTCGAGATAGAAGGAGGAATGATGCCATGTGCCTTCTCCTCACTGTCAACCAGATTTGGATATAAGCAGCAGCACAGTCAACACACGTGAGAGAGAGCAGAACATAGCAGACACCAGCAACAAAAGGTGAGCCAAGAGAGCTCTGTGGGATACAGCATTTCTCTTATAAATCATTTTATTGTGGGCAGGAAACCTTGGTCTTCTCCCAGATTAAAGAAATGAAAACATAATTTGCTAACATCAAGAAACCAAGAAAGTAAGTGAAAAACTGTTCCTCTGCAACAGTATCGGTCTCCAGGGCCCTACCATCAGTTACACGCCACAGTTTCATTGACTTCAAATGAGTTGCAATTTTGATAGGCTGAGGTTTGGAGGTTTAAAGGTTTCCATCTCGTCCCCATCTCCTACTCTCTCTTGCAGCATGACTGCTTTTAACACTGTGTCAATAAATGTAGCTTGTATGACCTCATAAAGGCTAAAGTGTTGTCTTGTCAGAATTCCTGGAGAAATTAGCACTGACTCTCGGTTAAGAAAAACCACTCTCTGCCAGGACTGTCAAACCCGGGCACTCATAAAGGGATGTGCACAAAGCTCCAGATACCTAAAGTAAGTAAACATAGAAGTAAGCATCTGCCTCCTTCAACAATAATAAAGTGCTGAAATAAGTAAGTTTTCTAATAGCATTCATTCATTTTAGAATAAGCTACTTCAAAAGTTGTATAGTGCTTTAGGTAGAGAAGCTGCTTCTAGAGTTGTTTCATATACAAAGAAAATTATTCTGCCCAATTTCAGAGCACAGGGATTGAAATGGCTCAACAGTCTGTTCTCTAGGACTTCAATAGCATTAAAACATAGGCATAATTGAGTATTAATAACTTGACTGCTCTCATCAAGTAAGAATTTTAAACTACAGCAAATGCTGACTACAAAAAGATAGACATTTGCTGAACACCAACTTACTCTTGCACTGAAAAGGGGTGCTAACTTGCTTTACAATGTTAATGTGTTACAAGGCACAGAGTATTTACCCATGCTTAGATCCTACTTCAGGCAGGAAGTGAAGACACACCAAACCTAAGGTTTGATCCAGTCCAGTGGATGCCATTTAGCTGCAGTCAGAACTTAACCATGTAGGCAGCATACCTGATTTAACTTCCAGACAGCAGTCATCAGCTCACTGGCTCCTACCAACAGGAGAGACTTACCTAGGGCAGGCAAACTTCAAGAATTCCAGCAAGCCAACCTAGAGTCAGGTCTGAGCTGCTGACTGCTGCTCTGCAGCAGCAGAGGTCTGAGAGAGAGATAATCCTCCAAGTAATATTCTTTAATGCAATATGCATTGATTTAGGAGCAGTAGCACCAGAGCAAGTGCTGCACTTGGTGTTAATACACTCTACCTGGCGTAGCTTTGCAACAGACTTACACTGTGATTATAATAAATTGGGTCTAAATCTTTGGACCAGCTCTTCTGGGTATCAAATGTGGCAGCACAAGCCTAAGTTTTGGAGGCGATGATATTTCCTGTCCCACCTGAAATCATGGGAAGCCACAACTTAGCTGTGCTAAAAAGAAAAACAAAAAAGAAACTAAGAATTTATTAGCAAATTCTGAAAGTAATGTTTTTCAACTCTTTGCATCTATTCTCCTGCCTATGTCAGTGTGGTAACAGTTTCAAGCCAGCATGGATGAAGGACTGTTCATACTCAAACAATGAGCAGCTTCGACCTGGCTGATAAGGCTCATGGCTAAGGTGTCTCCGCTGTCTCTGTTGCTTGTATTTGTTCTTGTCTACATGGATAAACAGGATAAAGTCTGACCACAAAGTGCATAGCAGAAGGGAGCCTTGACCCTCTGTTCTACTACGCTGGTATAATTCAAGTACTTACATAAATAATGAAACTGATTGTGTAATTGGAAGACTTTGCAACCTACAAATAAAAAGCAATGCACAACCCCTTGGCGAGGTAAATAATACTCAGAGATCACCATGAAGTGCAGCTTTCTCATTTCTGTACACACAGCGCACATACAACTGGCTTTACAGAAAAGAATCCTGTCTTGTCCTTACTTAGAACACAGATCACTACTTGGGGAGAAAGGGGAGACAAAAGGAGGTGCAAAAATAACCGCACACTGAGTGTTTCTGCTCCAGCTGGTACCTCTCAGGTCTTACACGTGCTTTGTGTTCTTTTAAGCGTGACCCTTGTTTTTTCACAAACTTAATGCTTGTGATTTAGTATCATCTAATAGCACATCATTTCTGACAACAAAACAGCACCGTCTACATAACACAGGCAGCTTCCGATTGTTGAAGATCTTTATAGTATCGATTCTTTCCCCATCAAATATTTCACAGAACTCTGTTCCTGTAAGGCTTCCTTTAAATCTGTAGCTATATGAGGTGCTGGATCTGCTGTGGGTTTATGTCTAACAATGTCCAAAGTGTCTCTTCACTTCCATGCTCCATCAGGTTCTGGATAAATGGTCCTGAAGGTCAAGTTTATCCGTGCATCTCTAGAATGATATTCCTTAGGCACTCGATGCTGTAAGCAGCATTAGCAAAAAACAAAACAAAACAAAACAAAACAACAAAACAGAAGTATGAGCTTGTGTATCTAAAATACAGGTAATCAAACAATATAAAAAACTTCATTTGCTGTGATGGCTTTTTATTAATGTTTCTAAACATTTAGGTAAGGAAAAAAATTCATGTTCTGACTGGTCAGGGCCACTGAAAAAAAAAGGTCTTCGCATATTACTGTAGACTTGTTAAATTAAGTTGCAACTTTTTTTATTCCAAGTTCCTAAATTGATTTTGCTCTTTCAGCTGCAGGCTGCAATCTTCACTGCTGAATTTAATGCTGGAACATCTGAGCTGATTCATATTACATCAGTTAGCACTTGAAAGAAAACCCATTGTTTCTGTGGGTGCTTTGAAATCCTGAGGCAGAAAGCAATATTAATGCCCTAGGAAACAACTGTGTCACTAGAAGCATAATGTCCCATACCTTTATGGGAGTGCCTTGTACATATTTAGAAAACTGCACTGCAAATAAAGCACATAAACAGTGTCAAGGAGTTCTTACCTGCCAATCCTCCTGGGTAGCTCCTTCCATCATCATCAGAGTCCCATGATCAAGTGGGATTCTTAGTCTTTCTACATAAGTATAGTCTCCATTCTCTTCCTAAAAAGAAACACTAGTCAGTGAAGAAGTGGGCATGTGCATTTGGTAGAAAACCAGTCCTCTGTAACAGAGCTTAAAAAGCTGTGAGGGAAGAAAAGGAAAGGAAGCTCTCACAAGACCAAGAAGTCTAACTAAACCTGTCTCTTACTGTATCTCACACAGAACTCAGGAGCCAAGCATTTTAAGGATGAAAGACGCCATTGCGTCTCACTGCCTGTATATCACAGGTAAAATTCAACAAGTTCCCACCTCTAGCGCAAAATTCCAGAGTGAGGCTGCAAACCTTTTCAAAACATCCACTCTTGAAATAAACAGTCCTATGTGGAGACATTCTGCAACAGTCATCCTGAGTCCAATGGTTAACTACTTCATCAAAAGATATTTTCCTTCTATTCTGAATTTGTCTTGTTTCGGGCATTACATGTTGGTATAGTATTATCTGCTAGATGAAGAACTTTTCCTATCCAAAAAAATCTCCTTCTCCTATAGTACGCTGGCCAGCAGGAGTAAGGAAGTGACTGTGCCCCTGTACTCAGCACTGGTGAGGCCACACCTCGAATACTGTGTTCGGTTTTGGGTCCCTCCCTACAAGAAAGACACTGAGGCACTGAAGCGTGGCCAGAGAAAGGCAACAAAGCTGGTGAGGGGTCTGGAGCACAAGAATTATAAAGAGCAGCTGAGGGAACTGGGGTTGTTTAGTATGGAGAAAAAGAGGTTGAGGGGAGACATTATCACTCTCTACAACTACCTGAAAGGAGATTGTAGTGAGGTGGAGGTCTGTCTCTTCTCCCAAGTAACAAACAGATAGGACAAGGGGAAATGGCCTCAAGTTAGACTGAGGATTAGATTGGATATTAGGAAATACTTATTTACAGAAAAGAGTCATCAAGCATTGGAACAGGCTGCCCAGGGAGGTGGGGGAGTCATCATCCCTGGAGATGTTCAAAAAACATGTGGATGTGGCACGGACATGGTTTAGTGCGCATGGTGGTGCTGGGCTGACAGTTGGACTTTTTCTTAGAAGTCTCTTCCAACCTTAATGATTCTATGATTCTAAAGGAAGTTGTCTTAAGCTTAACCATCACTAAGCAAAACAGAGTGCCAAACTAGAAGAGAAATAATTTGCAAACTTTTGTTAAGCCTTCAGATTATGTATAAGTTCTTTAATGCACAAATACAGCCAGACATAGTAACACCGCAGCATTAGTTTTAGACATGCCACATCAGTGGGAACAGCAAATCTCTACCACTTTGCACTATTCCTTCCCATTTTAAATAAGACTAATGCACTGCTAAGTCAAATTACTCAGGGAATTCTATCATGCCAACACAGTTTCTCTGTCAATCATGACAGTAACCTCCTCATGAAATAATACTATGTGTGACATTAACTATCTTCCAGAATGCCACACAGGCAGGTATTACAATACCCTATGCACTCCTTTAGTATTTTCTGATTTTAGCATTCAACAGTTTCAGAAAACAGTGCTGCAAACCTTCAACAACTTCCATTTAACATCTTGCCTACGTAATGTTGGCACTTTAATTATTTAATTAACATTGAAATGTGTATAGGAGAACCAAATGGCAGTGTATATTGTGCCTATCAGACATCTCCATCGCCAACTTCGCAAGCTGTCTAGGAAGAGTGGAAAGCAACTCTCTGAAATGAGGAATTCAGGGAAGTTTCCTATAGGAAATCACCTGCAAATACACAGATTATTTTAGAGAAAGAGGGAGTTAGAGAAATAATTTAATTAGTGTTGAAAGGGAGGGGACTCAAGAGACTTTTAAGTTACAGAAAGCCCTAGATAGCTTGAAAGTATAAAGTGGATAATAAATGTCCTCCACCGAGAAAAGAGTATGACAGGTTCTCAGTCCGTACATTGTGCAAGTACAGGGTTAACCTTGTTCCAAGTACACTGCATATAACAAGCAGTCTGAACGTGTATTTGTTATTGTACCACTGCCTCTAGAAGGAAAGAAACTGGCTTTTTTTCTCAAGAGATCACCAGGTCAGTTACTTGTTTTCAAAAGAAAACCCAGAAATACACCATTACTACAAAGAGATGAAAAAAAATAATCAGGCTGGCTCTGAGCTTCTAAAGCATGACAGTGTTCCTGTAAGGGACCACACATCTTAGCCAGTTGCTGAATAAATGCTCCAGATTTTTTATTTTTTAATTAGTTAGGCAGTATCTTTTCCAGTTTCTTATAATGGCTGGTGGACTCTTAAAATCACACTCGCTGAGCATTTAGGAGAAGGCAATGCTCCATTTATTTCTGACCCAGCTAAAGGCAGACTCTAGACTCCACAAACCCATTACTCTGTTACTACCGGAGTGGCATTTGTCACATTTGTCATGTTAAATTAAACTGTACTTTGGGGAGGAACCAAAAGAGGAGGAGTCACAATTTACATCACTTGTAACAGAAGCAGATTGCAAAGAAGCTGGAAACAGCAGCAACACCTGAGACTAGGAAGATGGCATTATCAAAGCAAGATTGAACCCAGCCTGAGGTGCAGGTAGAGTTAACTCACACTGACGAAAGTCCCTTTTACAAAACCTCACTTTTTCAAAACTCTTAACTAACTTACTTGAAGCTTAATTGTGCAGTGGCCCAAAGTGATGCAGGTTTGTCTTTTTTAAGTGCATGGCTTGCTGAAAAGCTCCAAATAACAAGGTAAATATCAAGGTAAATACCAACTAGTAGGAAAATTATGTCCTGGACTTAAAACAAAGTTCAGCTTTCAAAAGAACAACCGGGAATGTGTGTGTGTATAACAAAGATGCAGACAGAAAGAAGACTGCGATTCCCCTAAAATGGAAAAGAGCTTTGTTGAGATCTAATCAATTCCCGGCAATAAAAAGCATCACTTGAAGTAACTGATGGTTTATTTGCACCACTGCCACGTTCTGTTCCTGCCTGGGACAAGAAGTCACGGTGTGACAGCACACGGCCATTCAGGTCCTGCTGCTGCAATGGGGAGCCCCGGCTGGCAATTCCACATTTGTGCCTTTCCTGGGGATACCTGAGGGCCCAGGGCTGTGCCGGTGGTTAACAAAGCTCGCTAAACCTCTGGAATCAGAGCGTGCTGAAGGCACTCAGAATCACCTGTAATATGTATTCTTTGCAAAGACAATGCAAACCATATTTTTAAGCTTCTCAAATTATTGGTCATTTATATTGCTCTATTAAAAGTAAGGTGTAATGTCAAAAACATTTTCTTGAGCTTCAGAGGAAACAAGGAAAAAGTTTCAAAAACAGGCATTTGAACATGACTGCTGATGAAAAGCAGAGAAATACCATTGCACGGCTGTTCTCTGTTTCCCAGGATTACATCATTTCACTTTGTGCATGGACAACAGTGGACTTATTTTTCTCTCTTGCTTATCCTGATTAAAAAGAAATTCTTCTAAGATAAATGATTTAAAAGAAAACATCATTTTTGCTTAAAAAAAGATACTATGTGAAAACAGCAGTTACTTTCTGTTTTACATGGGACATCTCTGAGCTTATATTTACTTAGAAAAAGATTTTTACTTCAATTGGTTTTGCAGAGTCAGTGAAGTTAGACAAAAAGAGTTTCTGACTGTCTTACACGTCATTACTGACCCCATCCACCAAATCTCATTTCAGAACTTTTCTCTCTAGAGCTGATGCTAGACATGCAGAAAAGTCAGTAAAGGAAATTTATTCTTGACTTCTAAGGAGGAAAATATTTTTTCAAAAGTACAGATAACAAACACGGAAAGAAACGCATTAGGCAACTTTTATATGGTCACTTTGTAACTCTATGTATGTATTACAAAACCAGCTGCAGGTCTAGTAAAGCAACTGTTCTGCTTCTTAGTATATTAGAGTTTTCATAATCCTGAGTTACACATTTAATACAATCCAAGCTTTACACTGTCCAAGTACACTGGCTAAGACTTTTTTTTTTAATCTTTAATTCACATAACTACAGTTCATGAGGAAAGGTCATCAAGAGTTGACAGGAAGCTGTGAATATAAAATCTGTAAGTATTCCTAGGCCCCATCAAGGTTTTTTTCTTAAAATGTTATCAAAAAGGTAAAGATAAAAGATCCAGTATAAATCTATATAAATCACCTAAGTTTACTTCTTAAGTCTCAGACAGACAAGTTTACTGAGATAGTAGTAGGAAACAGGTTCTGGATAGTGTGGAAGCATCTTCTATTATACAAAAAAGTAAATGGAAACATCCTGTAGAAGAATGTATAAATAACAATGCAGTTATAAATGCAAATGATGCAAAACTCTTTTCAGAGGCTAAAGTCAACAGCCTTCATGGAGAATGATGGCTTCTAGTCTTCTGCTCTACCTATTTATCTATTAGCAAGAGAACTACCCTTACAAAACTTATAATCTAGTATTGTCAGACTTCCATCTTGCTTGTATCCCTCTTTTCCAGTTTACTCCTCTACCACAAGCTGTGGAAACACCTTCTTCCACAACAAAATGTTTTATCTATCAGTACTTTGGCATTTGTACCTGTTTATTCTCACTGTCTCTGACGAAATCCTCACTGCAGCTCTTCTCTTTATGGATTCAGTAAGGGGTTGTTTAGTCTGAAGAAAAGGAGGCCGAGGGGAGACCTTATCACTCTCTACAACTACCTGAGAGGTTGTAGGGGGGTGGGCATGAGTCTCTTCACACAAGTTACGACTGACAGGACAAGAGGAAATGGTGTCACGTGCTAGAGGAGGTTTAGATTAGACATGAGGAGAAACTTCTACACTGAAAGGGTTATCAAAGACTGGAACAGGCTGCCCAGGGAAGTGGTTGAATCACCACCCTTGGATGTATTTGAAAGCCATCCAGATAAGGTGCTCAGGGACATGGTTCAGAAGTGGGCACTGTAGAGTTAGATAACAGTTGGACTTGACGATCATTTCCAACCATAATGACTCTGTGATTCTAGGAATTAATATCAATTGAACTGCCCTTTCCTCACGTAATCCACTTGCCCACTTACATAGGACTATCTTTAAACTCTCCCAGTCTTTCTGCAGCTGACCCAGCAGACTGCAAGTGAGGTAGCTCTAAAGCACTCACATCTGCCTCTCTGCTTGTTTGCAGCTGTTCAAGTCCTGCCACACTGGTGGACAACACCTCCTCCTCTGCAGCCACTGCTGTCTGCCAGTCTTCTTCATGCCAATCTAAAAGTTCAATCCTTTTCATCCTGATCCAAGCCTCTGTTTCTATTGTGCTCCATATATTCCCGTATTCATCTCCAATTGGGCCTGTTAGGACACAATGGATTATTTTTCTGCTGTTTTCAAAAGTACTATGAGATCTTTAACTTCTGCTAGAACAGCTACTCAAGGACAGAAGAAAAGAACTGCGACTAAGTGTTTCATTTGAAGGACAAACCCATCTGAAGGCTGATCTTGAGAACACCACAAACATCCTGCTATTATCTAACACAAGCATGAAGCTCCCTCCCTTGCCCATCAGTTGCCGTGGTTACGGGCAGAAGAGCAGCAACCTGACAGCTGGCTTTCTAAATCCTTCCATGGTTCACACAGCAGTTTTGTTGGACAACTACACCCAACTAGTCCTCATGGGACTCAGACCTCTGCTACAGAGCACCTCCCAGTGGGACATCAAATATCACCCTTCACCCTTGAACTAAGATTCACACCCAGCTTCCAGAAAGACCTAATCAGATAACCTGGCGTTGTTTCATGGAGTTGACAAGCCATAGTAAAAATGGCAGTGAGACTGCATCAGAAAGACTCATCTACCACAGTGAAATCAAATCCAGAGTAGGACAATTAAGTCATGTACGAGTGGGACAGGGGCCTTGAGGCTGTGTGGAGAACAGGACGTGGTCACAGTGGTGCAGCGGTGACAGCTACACTGTGGGCAAGCATGAGAGGACACGTTCACTAAACCAATTGTGTGTGAATTTTGCATGAATCACAGCTCTAAAACAAAGCATTCGTCTCTTGGTTTCGGTGCAGAAAGGAGCTACAGCAATGGAGGGGAACGAAGAGGCAAGAAAAAGTTTATGAAATTTACTGGAACTAGAAGTAGAAAAAAATCAAAGAAACCAGATCACTTCACTGCAGACTTTGAACTACTGAGTAGGCATCCAAAAAAACCCCTAGAAACCACTTAAAGAAAAGGCAAAACATCAGCTACAACCACACAACTGGTCCAAATAAACAGAAAAGGCAGTATTTAGAAGAAAGAACGCTTAAAAAGAAAAACTCCAGTGAGTAAAGTAAAACGGTTTCTGGCATTGTGCGAATTTCCATGAAAAGTCTCCTTAATTCCCACAGCAAAATTACTCCTGAAATGTATTTCTAGTTTTTTACATGCACTGGGCTGAAATCTGAGTAAGAATTATTCCTATTTATCCACAAGGGATGTTTGTTGATGCAGATGCAAATAGACTATGCATCTATCTACCCTCCTTTACCATCTATTACCTGATGAACACTTAGCCATCCAGGACAGTACTCACCAAAAAGGAAACAGAGGACTGAACCTTTCCTTCCCCTCACCCTAGAACAATTTTCAGGAGAAAAAAATAACCACCTGCACCTAAATAACTTCTTTTTTACATTGTTTTGCCAAGAAAAATATAAAAATATTTCCTTTTGTGACAGTTTCAGAGTGGCCTACGTAAATGCCACCAAATTCCTACCAGACAAACGTCAAAATTCACACAAGCATGCACAAAAAGACCAACCCACTGACATTACTGGTTGTCTTTGCAGTAAGAGATATAGGATTTTATTCTATAAGAAGTTCACCCACATTTCAAGATATAATATGGAAAATATTTGTACAGATACCAACATGAACTGAAGGCTCTGATCTAGTGTTCTTCAATAGCACCATGTTACCTAACTTGCAGTACATAGTGTTTTGTAGCCAGTACGAGATCACACACAGGCAACTGCCTTAGCTTTTTTTTTCCCCAGAACCATTTATCCAGAGTGAGCTTTTATCACAGTAATTCTCATCTTGTATTTTCATTACATCTTTACATCTTTCATTTCAAAATACTTAAAAGCACTTACAAGAACGGGGGAAATGAAGGCCTTTGAAGCTCTAGAATTTGAGATACGAGAATGTTGGCACTCAAAGAGGTTTAATTTTGGGAGGAAAAGG